TCTAAGAAGAGTACTTTCTGCAGACTTAAGGCTTTTCTGGTAATTTCTTAAAAACACTAACAATTTAAATAAAATGAAAAGACAGTATCTAAAGAAGCAAGTACAGCTATTTCATGATATTCTAAATGGTCATGTTAGTGCTTAAAGTTCACTAAGATCCATCAGTGGACTGGAAAACTGTTTTCATGTTGACATAAACTGATGCATTTTCCTTTAAGTTTATTGTACTCTTTCCACAAAGGCACAATGTATCCATCAACACTGTCATTAAATTACTCTCTTTTGTTTGTTAATCCTCACCTAAGGATATTTTTCCATTGATTTTTACATAGAGGGGAAGGGAGGGAGGGAGAGAGAGAAATATCGATGTGAGAGAAACACATCAATTGGTTGCCTCCCGCAAGACCCTGACTGGGGTGAGGATCAAACAAACCTGCAACTCAGGTACATGCCCTTAACCAGGAATTGAACCCACAGCCCTTCAGTCCTCAGGCTTACTCTCTAACTGCTGTGCGAAACAGGCCAGGGCTAAATTACTCTTATTAATAGCAATAAACAGCATAGAGTAATGGGTACCTTCAGCAAATATAAGTCAAACTGTTTTTTGGCATAATTTGATATGCCATTTAATTTTTTTTACTGAGGTTAAGCTAATATGTCAAATTATATATGACAAAATTCACTCTTTTAATTGCACAGTTCTAGAAGTTTTGACAACTGTATACAGTTGTGCAACTACCCAATCAAAATATAGAACAAGGGTTCTTCTCCCCTCAACTCTACCCCAGACAACTGATCTGCTTTCCATCCCTATAGTTTTGCCTTTTTTAGAATTTCATAAAATTAAAATCATGCAGTACGTTGTCTATGTCTGCCTTCTTTCACTTGCTTCTGTGATTTATCCCTGTTGTTTCATGTATCAATAGTTCATCCCTTCTTACAGTTGAGTAGATTCCACTATATGACAATATCACAATCCAGAAGAAAATCTACAAAAGGACATGAGAAGCCATAAAATAAAATACTATGAAAAGTCCATCAACACCTAAGGCAAAAGAAACAAAGGAAAAAATGAACACATGGGACTACATCAAACTAAAAAGCTTCTGCACAGCAAAAGAAACAACCATCAAAACGGAAAGGGAGACCATAATCACCAATGATGCATCAGATAAGGGGTTAATTTCTAAAATATATAAAGTGCTCATACAACTCAACAAGAGGAAGACAAAGAACCCAATTAAAAAATGGGCAGAGGAACTAAATAGACATCTCTCCAAACAGGACATACAAATGGCCAAGAGACATATGAAGAAATGCTCAACATCACTAATCATCAGAGAGATGCAAATTAAAACAACTATGAGGTATCATCTCACACCTGTCAGAATGGCCACCATCAACAAATCATCAAACAACAAGTGTTGGTGAGGGTGTGGAGAAAAGGGGACTTTAGTATACTGCTGGTGGGAATGCAGACTGGTGTAGCCACTGTGGAAAACACTATGGTGTTACCTCCAAAAGTTAAAAATTGAACTACCATTTGATCCAGTGATCCCACTTCTAGGAATATACCCTAAGAAACCTGAAACACCAATCAGAAAGAATATATGTACCCCTATGTTCATAGCAGCATTATTTACAATAGCTAAGATCTGGAAACAACCCAAGTGTCCATCAGTAGGTAAATGGATTAAAAAGCTGTGGTACATGTACACAATGGAATACTATGCAGCTGTAAGTAAGAATGATCTCTTATCCTTTGAGATGGCATGGAAGGACCTGGAAAGTATTATGCTAAGTGAAACAAGCCAAGCAGAGAAAGACAAATATCACATGATCTCACTTATTTGTGGAATATAATGAGCTAAACAAACTGCTGAACAAAATTAACCCAGAGACATAGAGGTGGGGTACAGACAAGCCTCAGAGGAGGGGGTGTTGGGGGGAGGAAGAGATAAACCACAGAACTTACATGCATGTATGCATGACCAATGAATATAGACAACAGAGCTGGGGATGGGGCAGGGGGGAAGGGAAGAGGGTGTCAATGGTGGAAAACTGAGAAACATCTGTAACAAAAACAAATTAATAATAAATAAATAAATAAATAAATAAATAAGAAGTATTTACAACTTCACATGTAGTTTTGTTTTTGTTTTTTAATGTGAAAATGTTTGACTTTATTTATTTTGTAATGTTTCATTCAGTCAACAAGTACTTATTATCTACTACACTCCATGGCATTTTTCTAATCTGGGTATAAATTTGGAGTACTTGAGGCACAAATAAGCACACATCCATTAGATATGAAGGTAAAGTCATTATTATGACTCAAGGTTGTGATAAAAAAGGTACCATTACACAAATTCACTGTGCAACAAGAACAATTAGAGATAAAGTATAACATCTTCACATTTTAGGTATGTAGACAGAAGATCAATAATTACATTGAGAATAAGAGATCTAAAATCTGGTCCCAATTTTCCACTTTTTAATTCTCTCTATCCAGAAATCATTTGAATTCTCTGAACCACAACTTTTTCATGTCAAAAATAAAAACAGTAATAGCTATAAGCATAAAGAGAAGCTACATCTAAAAGATAGATGGCAGGCATACAGTAATTTATTATAGTTGGCTAATGAAAATCTAAGTTCAACTATGCTTTCTACATAGCAATGGAAGATTTTTGAAAGAATTATTAGATTATTACACTAGGCATATGTATTAAATTCTACTCAGAATCTAAATTTTTAGAACTCTTTATATAGGATCATAGCTTCAGGATTTAAAATAGGAAATATTACCCTTCATAGTTCTCTATGTCGAGGTTGGGGAGAAACTACTAATAGCGATTAATCTCTCTTTTTAATCATCTCTGCTTTTAAAATCTATGTCAAATTTACTTTTAATTCTATCATAAAGGTTGTGCCTTTAGAAGGTACAATTATAATCAAATGATTTTACTTGGAACAGAGAGCCTTCTCTTTATATTAAATCTGCAAGGATTATGTTTTATTTATCACATGTAGTTTTAACCCCTTGTTGCCCTATAGTGATTAGCAGTAAAAACGTAAAAATTCTAAAGAAAGGATAAAAAAGAATCCTATGTTTTTATTTAATGATTACTAAGCATGTTGACAAAGACTATGTCTTTCCCCACAGACAATCCTGGGAAAAAAGGAACCCCTAAGACATAGAGTACATGGATGCAACTTGGAACAAACACAGATGCAATTCTTGGGCACTGCAGAAAGAAGACGGGAATCCCTGAAGAGCTCCCACGGGGGTTATCCTAGAGGCTTACTGAAACAAACATTGGAATCTTAAAATCTTTTCAAACATTTCTTTCATATGCAAACCTTTTACCTAAGCACTAACAACTATATTCTCCTTCAGGGTTGTTTTTTGGTGCATTTCTGACTGACGTGATTAAATGAGCCCTGTTATCTAAGTTCTATCAGGGAAGCCTCAGTGGGAACTTTTTGATCCCCACATCATGTTACTCCCAGCAGAGACGAATATTTTGGGGCCATGTTCATTTTCCCAAAGCTAAAGGTAAACTGAATAAAAATGAAAATCTGTCCTTTCAGTGAAAGTGTTTATGGTGATCTTAGCTGTGATGGGTGGCTTGCCAAGAACCCTATTCTAAGTGCAGAGTAATCATATTGGCAGAGAAACAAAAGGAAAACTGGAAAACCATCTGAGACCTATCCCTCAGTTTTGGGGCAGGCCAGTGCTTTTAAAGTAATATGGTTAATTGCATATCCATACTGCTTTAGAGTGACATCATATAGCCTATTAGATAAAGTGCTGCATGATTATTTTTAAATGGAATTACCAAGTGCATACCTAATTGGGCTATATTGCTGAAAAAGGCAAAAACAGGAATACTAGTTTTTATATTGCTCTGGAAATGAGAGCCAAGTTAAAGTCAGAATCCTTAAAATATAAATGTACATTTATGCGAACATTCCTAAAAGTTGTTAATAACATTAATTACTTTTGTGATTTAGGGAAATATACAGCTGTTCTACCCACTCTGATTTACACCTATCCTTGAAAGTTAATAGAATTCTAATATTGAATAAGATTCTAGGACACAAATTAACTTAGGATTTCCTCTTAAGAATACAGTAACAATGGGGAAATGTTTTCATCTTCACAGGAAAGGCCTTACCTAATTCTTTTTTTTTTTTTGGTCACGTTTCCTGACAACTGAAAGGCTGTAATACCAATAAAATGAAAAATACTTTCAGATGGAGACAAGCTAAAATACCTTTTCTATTAACTGTAAGGATACATGCTTTTTTTCTTTCCTTTGTCTAGAAGTCTGAAAAACTCAGTTTCATAACCATATGATAGTTTGATAGTTTTAAGAATGGCAGGACCCCATGTGCAGTCAGTTACACAAAAATGGCTTTCTAAAAAAAAAAAAAAAGGCTTTCTTCTGCTGTTACCAGTTGAATACGGTTGTGGAAATACTGCTTCACTCAGTTATGGCTATAGCTGGAGCCTCTGGTTAGTTTAAAAAACATCACTTTTTTATTTTTATTACACCTATTGCTTAGAAAGACCATATATTGAACTGCTGCATATTAAATAAAACTTAAGAGATTAATGTCACAATTGCAATATATTGCAAAGTGACTATTCTCCAGTTACCCAACCTTTCTAAAAAAAAAATGTCTGAAAAAGACATTCTTCTCCCAAAGGACAAGGACTACTAGTGATGAAGCTTGCTTACTAAAGTCTTTTTTTGTTACAGTTAAAGGACCTAAAAACAACTTAGCATTGCCTTCAGCATCCAGCAGGTAGAAAAGACACTTGGATTTTGGTAAGATTTTGTAAAACTGCTTTCTGAGTCTCAACTGAGTTCAGAAAAACAAAAACAAAAACAGTGGGCTATGTCACCTCCACAGAAATTTGACACCCCTCGGTGGGGCTTCCCTATTATAAGAATTCACCATGCTCAAGGCAGAAATGGTCCATATATTACCTTCAACTGTTCTAGAGCAAAAGATGAACCATCTTGCTGTAAATTTTCAATAATCTGTTCCACATTATTGGCAGAGAACCAACTATAAGAAAGGGAAACAAATGATTTCACCAGTTAGATTTTTTCTTTCTGAGATAGCAATGAACCTAAACATAGGCTTCCCCCAGACTCCATTTCAAAAATGAAAAAATTTCCAACCTATCTTACAGGATGATGAAATAAAGCATTGCTTCTCTCGGTAAGTGTATTCAGTCTACTTTCAGTAATGCAAAATAAAGCCTACATTTTCACTTCTGATTTCTTGCATCTATTATTTGTAAATAAATGATATCTTAACTGTGAAAAATTTATGCTTCTAAGATGTAGACATAGCTGTCTTATTTTCCAATAGTTTTCCTCCTCTTGTATCCCTTAAGCCAGTCAATCTCTCAAATCACTGCACAAAACCATTTTCTGATGGGCCTGATAAGATCTTCATGGAAGACTACTTCACAAAAATAAAGTACAAATTAATCCAATTACTTTCCAGCCTCTCTTCTCCACTTAAAAAAAGAAAAAAAAGATGTTTTTTTATTGAAATAAGTCAGCATGACAGATTACTTAAACATAATGGAAAGAGTAGATAAGAAGCTGTTTTCAAAGGTAAGTGAAAATAAAAGCTCTGTGCTTTCTGATTTCAGAATTAGATGCATTATCAAACACAATGTAATTACAATGCTAGCAAATTCCATTTAATATAGAATTTCGAAAGGAATAGATAAATCTGAGATCTCTCTTTAAGTACCTGTTTATTTTGTCCATGTGTTCCTCAAGTATGAAAGGCTTGCCTTGATCAATCTTGGACTGTTTGAAAAGAAAAATATATAATTCATTTGAAATAACTCAAATCTTTTAAAAATCTTCTTAGTAACTTCATGTTTAACAATACACTATGTGACAGATTATCAATCACTTTCAGTCAAATTACATTCAACAATCTCATAAAAACTACCACCTATCTTCAAGATTCTGACAATATGTATTATTCTAGACAATATTTGAAAGTGTCAAAGGCCAAATGTTCTTGTATTTTTATTTTCATATCATTATATATGACACATTATCATTAGTGTGTCAATAAATTTAAGAACCATAAGGGACCTGAGAAGTCATCCTGCCCAAATGTCCATGTGACATAAAAATTCCTACCACATCCATGATAGTCTGCAGCACTGACTTCCAGAGTGATAAAACAGTACCTCGGGAAGAAACTCAAAAGTGCTTAAGAACTCTAATTAGAATATGTTTTCTTTAATTCTGGACCAAAATAAGCCCTCTCATATTTCTAGTTCTAGTTTATCCCTCTTTCATCTCAATCTTTTTACATACTGCAGTTCTGTGCCCCCTCATAATCCAGGTCTTTTTTATGTACAAATTCCAGTTTATCAAGGTCATTAAGTGTGGAACACATACCTTAGCTGCAGGTGTGGCTGAATCAGAACAAAGTACAACAGCACTCCACATACTCTTGCTTGTTTTGGATACAATGCTTTTACTAACAGCACTGGGTTAGTTTTGGGGCAGTCCTATTAGGCTGATTTACACTAAAAATTTAAACCTTTTTTTAAACTAGTGCCATTATAAGCTATATTTCTCCCATCCAGTACTTAAGAATTTGGTATTCTGGGACAGAAATCCAAAATGTTCACTTATCTCTATTGTGATACCATAATTTAAAATAAATATATATTTATTTATTTATATATATTTATAAATATATATTTATATATTTATAAATATATATTTATATATCTCTGTTCATAGCCTACAGCTACCCAAGCCCTTGGAATATGCTAAGTAGAGCATTTTTCTTTTCCCAGATAGAGTGGGAAAGAGAGAGGGAGGAAGAGAGAGAGAGAAACATCAACATGAGAGAGAGACATCGACTGGCTGCCACCCGCACAACCCCAATCAGGGCTGGCGATGAACTGCAACAGATGCATGTGCCCCCAGCAGGAACCAAACCCGGGACTCTCTGGTCCACGGGCCAACGCTCCAACCACTGAGCCAAACCAGCTAGGGCAGTAGAGCATCTTTTAATACTTGGTCTTTTGTCTTCAGTTCCTGAAATAAAGGTGAAATAAGTTGTCTTGTTATGCCTAACAAGTCCTTTTCAACCACAAGGCTGTTTTATGTTAATGAGGGGACTATTGCAAAGCCCCAAAGGATGGGGGCTGGTTGACAGGACAACCGTGACTTCTAGTCCCACCCTGCTGAGCTCCAGGGAGGGAACTGGGCTGGAGACTGAGTTCAATCACCAATGGCCAATAATTTAATTAATTATGCCTATGTAATGGAGCCTTCATAAAAACCCCAAAAGGATGGGTTTGGAGAGCTTTCAGGGTTGGTGAACACAATCACATTTTGGGAGAGTGGTGCACCTCAACTTCACGGGGACAGAAGCTCCTGGGCTTGAGACCCTTCTAGACTTTGCACTTTGTCTGGATGCTCATTCATCATCCTTTTTTTTTGTATCTTATAATAAACTAATAAATGTTAAGGGTTTCCCTATTTTTATGAGCCATTCTTGCAAATTTTCTTATTCAAGGAGGGGGTCATGAGAACCCCAGATTATTGCTGGTCAGTCAGAAGTACAAGTGACAACCTGGGACTTGGGACTGACATCTGAAATGGGGTCAGTCTTGTGGGACTGGGTCCTTAAGCTCTGGAATCTGATGCTAACTCCAGGTAGATAGTGCTAGCATTGAAATGAATTAAAGGACACCCAAATGGTGTCATATAGAATGGCTTGATGGGTAGAAAACTCACACATCAGGTGTCAGAAGTGTTGTGAGTGTGGTAGCAGTGTGAGAGTAAAGGAAAACATAGGCAGTTTTCCTCATTCATCTATTAAATTTTGCATCGTTGCTGTTAGATTACTCTAAACTCAAAGGGCTTTTTTTTAAATCCTCGCTCAAGAACATTTTTCCATTTTTTGTTTCAGATAGAGTGGGAGGGAGAGAGAGGAAGACAAACATCGACTTGAAAGGGACACATCGAGTAGCTGCCTCCCGCACAACCCAACCAGGGCCAGGGACAAACTGCATCCGAGGTATATGCCCCTAGCAGGAACCAAACCCGGGTCTCTCTGGACCAAAGGCCAAGGCTGTAACTGCTGAGCCAAACAGGACAGGGCTCAAAGGGTTGTTTTGAAACCATATTCTTTTACCTAATTTATTTTCTTGGTTTGAAATCAATTTGATCAAAATGCTGTCAACATCCTCATTCAGATCACTGAGAAAAACACTGAATAAAACAAGGCCAACACAACTGTACCTACAGATTTAACGGAACTCTTTGGTAAGGCCCTTCAACCCCCACACATTACACCAACTTGACCACATGAGAGACTGTCAAATACTTGACAAAATCTGATGAAATCTTCACATGCTGTGTATTCATATTCACTGCACAGAGTATTCGAGGCCCTGTCGATTTGTACTCTTGTTCCTTGCTTTTGGGTAATATTTTGGTACTATTTCTCTAAATATTTTCTCTGTTATGAATTCCTAGTATGTATTTATTAGACTTCCTGGAATAATACCTCTAATTTTTCTTCGTCTCCATTTTCCATCTTACTATCCTTTTTTAAAAAATATATATATATTTTTATTGATTTTTAGAAAAAGAGGAAGGGAGAAGAAATAGAAACATCAATGTGAGAGAGAAACATCGATCGACTGCCTCCCACATGCCCCCCTACTGGGGACCAAGCCCACAACCCAGGCATGTGCCCTGACCAGGAATTGAACCTACAATCTCTTGGTGCATGGGTCATGCTCAACCATAGAGCCACACCAGCTGGGACTTATTACAGTCGGCCCTCGTTTATCACGATTAATCAGTACCAGACTCTACCACAATAAATGAATTTCCACGAAGTAGGATTCTTTATTTATATACAGTCATCCCTCGCCACTTCACACTTCCACTTTTGCAGCTTCACTATCACAGAAGCGCAAAGCGGCAAGAGACGATTGTATCCTTTTTGTCCTTAGTGCTTCCCTAAACCATCAATTTTAATTTAATCTGTTGAGGATTATTTTCCCCCTTTGCTATCCTCTTTTAAATTTTTTTGTTCTTTACTTCTCTGCATAAGATCTGTTATTATTTCATATATAAAATAATTTCCTCTTATGTGATTATAACAATTACAGGTTTGTTTCTTTTTAAAGTTTCCTTCTTCTCTCTGCATTGTCTGCTTCCTTCACTTACATTTATTGTTCACTTTGGCCAATCTCTGTTTTTGTTTGTTTGTTTGTTTTTATGTCTGGCAATTCTCATTTTTCTGTGTGAAGCACTAAAATTAGGAAGCTTTGTGTGTAATGTTAGTTGCAGTTATAAGATTTTCAATTGTCTGATGCATTAAAGATGATCAGGCAACGACCTGAATGTTTTGTTTGGAGTCTTCAAATGTCAGTTATCTACAGGTTTTTTCTTTTCTTCTGATATACTGCTTGTGAGTGAGATGATGCTATGAACTGAATGTCTGTAATCCCTCCTCCCCCAAATTCATATTGAAACCCTAATCTTCAATGTGATGGTATTCAGAGGAAGGGACTTTGGGATGTTATTACTCAAGAGGATAGAGCCCTTGTGAAGGGATTAGTGCCCTTTTAAGAAGGGATCTGAGAAAGGTAACTTTCTCTCTCTCCTGTGTGAGGATACAGCAAGGTGGCTTCCATTTGCAAATTAGGAAGAGCGTCCTCACTCGGCACTTAATTGGTTGGCATCTTGACTTGAACTTCCCAGCCTCCAGAAGAGTAAGAAGTAAGTTTCTGTTTAAGCCACCTAGTCTATGGTATTTTTGGTACAGCTCTCCAAACAGACTAAGATGATGGTATGTAATGATTCTGGAAGCTACTAGGGAAAGAGGCTAGATGTCTTCCCATTTAGATGTTCTGCCTCTTTTCAGTAGAGCACTTCACCTACCCCTGCCCTAAGTCGACTAGGCCTTTCTGGTTTGGTCTCTTTAAGGAGTAAGTATCTATTCTCCTAACAGGCTATGAGAGGGTAGCTGCTCCTACAGGAGGACTTTTGGAGGCATAACTGCTCCTTAAAAATTTGCAGAGATCTTCCTATTTTTCTGCCCTATTCTACAGCCCTGTCTTCAGAGCGACCTGTACCTCACAAAGGCTCTAGTCTACAGTAACAAGTGGCTTGTTTCTTACTGGCTTTCCCCACTAAAGGATAACATTTCATTGTTATGTCTAAAGTAGCTGCCCTCATCCTTCTTTCAAGGTTCCAAAATATTTACATCTCATTCTTGCCGCTGTCTCTTCTTATGTTCCATTTGTCTTTGTGGATTTGTGTCTTTTTTATTTCTTATTACAATTTAAGTGGGGTTTTAGGAGAGAACATGTATTCAATCCATCATGTTTAACGAAGTCATGTAGCATTTTAATAGAGTCTTGGCTCTTAAAAGTAAATTTAATTTAGACAACATAAGTAAGGCATTAAAAGTAAACACTGCAATATACTTTGTTATTATATTTAGTTATACTCCAGAGTTTCACTTTAGCATCTCCACAAACCATGTCAAATTGAACCTCCATTATAGAAATCTCACAGTGCAATGTGAAAAGCTCCTGCGAGGGCCAGTCACAAGGCTATGCACTGAAATTCATAAGCAATGAGAAGACAGGCTGTACAGCTGCACAGCAGTCACCTTCTGAGATGGCTACTGTAACAACTGTGAAGCACTGATTCTCCCATCAAGCTTTGAAGTAAATAAATCCCAGTACATTTATTTACATTCACAAACTATAATGTTCATCAACTGCTATTTTTCAGTCACTTACCCTTCCCCATGAATTAAAATCTGAGTTTAGAATATTGACAAGATTACCTTTTTATGGTAAGTTTCTAAAACATCTGCAATATTTTCTTTTGAAGGAGATTTCAGGGCTAATAAATCTTCTTCCAACATGCCCAACTAAAGGTAAAAAAAAAAAATAAGGGGTGGGGGAAAAAGATTTGAAACACCATAGTAACACAACATTTTTTTTTTACAAATCTTATACTTTTTAAAATTCCTATCTTAAAATTACGATGCTCTCTCTTCAGCTGAGTCAATGAAGGAAATTTTCACTGAAGTTATTCATATACATTCCTACACAGCAGATGTTGCCTTGCAAGGAATGAATAAATGTGGGAGAACTAAAGAGGAGAAATAAAGACATTTATCTCTGTTTTCCTCTGGTTACTGAGGACATGAAATGTTGTACAGCAACCAAAGATCTGAATTATGAATTTTAACCAAAATGATCACATGTGACTAATGGCTACTACAATCAATGTACAGCTCTGTAATATAGCCACACTTAACTCTCTCTCTATACCCCTCACATATCTATCCTATGCTCAGTCAAATGGGGCTTTTTACTGTTTCCAAAACATAGCTAATGTTTTCCTGCACCTGCGTACTTGCACATTAAATGTTTCCTCTATCCAGAATGCCTTTTCCTGACCATACTCATTAAAACCCAGCTGAACTGCAACTCTATGAGAAAACTTTCAGTCCTTTCTTATACGTAAGCCCTTCTTCCTTTCAACCCATTGAGTACTTGCTTTGTATTCTGTTTTTACACTTATCATACTTTACCCCGTCAGATGAGACAGATGGTTATTTATATTTCATACCTACCTCTATTTAGCCCCATCCCCAATGTGTATTCTGTTATCCTCTATAGGCCCTGTAAATGGCAATCTACTCACTGCAGATATTATAACTAGGCAAACTAACAAAAAAGGAAGAAAGCTGTGGATCAGCTTTCTCTGTCATCCTTCACTAAATATACTACAATCAAGAGTGTTCCCCTAGAATAGACAATGGAGCAGCCATGTTTGTTTCCTGTTATAGCTCAAGGGAAGTATGAGATAGTTACCTACTCAATGTGACTGAGGATTTCATAATATGGAGAAAACCTGAAACTACAAGCAAATGTGATGGAAGGCACTCATAGGAGTGTATAGGGGACAACCTTCAACTTTGTATACTTCATTCATTTTTATAACATTCCTTCCCCTCTTCCAAACCTCTCCTTCCTCAAGAGCAGATACTCATTTGGAGATCTATATGCTTCTTGAGAAGCTGAGTTCACCCCACAGTTCCAGGAATGGAGCGTATTAACTAGATAAGCTAGTCAGTATATTCCACCCACCCCTGTGGTTCAGGAGTGATATAAACCAGTCCCATCAGAGTGAGCTAAACCAGTTGAAGCAGAATAAATCCCAAATCCCTTGCTGGGAATTCTGAGGCAAAAATCACCTTGAATTGGATTTTATTACATTTAATACAAGTAGTTTCAACTACTATGGTAAAACTGCTGCCCCCATGTTGGAGAAGGAAAATCAGGGAGGGGGGTCACCTAAAGAAGCTAAATGTAAACTAGAATTTAAACCCAGGCTGTCTAGTATTTTTTGTCACTGTGCTAAGAAAACTGGCAACATTGTTTTTTAAAAAAGACAAAGTAACATTGTCCCTTGCAACAGATATCCTTTAGGAAAGTTTTCAAGACCATATTTTATAGATGTAACTTTTAAATGCATCAGGGAGCCCTGGCCGGTTTGGCTCAGCGGTTAGAGCGTTGGCCTGCGGTCCGGAGAGACCCGGGTTCGGTTCCCGCTAAGGGCATGTACCTCGGTTGCAGTTTGTCCCCGGCCCTGGTCGGTCGTGTGGGTGGCAGCCACTCGATGTGTTCCTTTCATATCGATGTTTCTCTCTCTCTCTGTTCCTCTCTCTCCCTCCCATTCTACCTGAACAAAAAATGGAAAAAATGTCCTTAGGTGAGGATTAAAAAAAAAAAAGAAAGAAATGCATCAGGGAAAATATAAAACCAAAACATTTCAAAAATGTTTTTATAAAATAAAAAACTTTTTTATATATAACTTTAGATTTTTATATATTAGACTTTCTTAGAATAGATTTCTTTACAGAATGTAATTATTCATTAAAAAATATTCACTGAAGGTATCAGGCAAAACAGCCCTGACTCCAGATATAATTATCTACATTTGTGTGTATGAGGAAACTGAAGATTGGTGAGCTTAAGAACTTTTCCTAAGGTCACAGAGTTTTATGTAGTACATCTAGTATTCAGACCTATATCTACCAAAAGCCTGATCTCAACTACTCATACTGCCTCCCATGTAATATAAGTTATTCCAACAACACAAACTTCAAGTATCCAAGTAATTACCTTTTCAGAATCTACAAAGTGTGTAGAAATTCCTGCTCTGTACACATCTCTTCCCTTCAGCCTGAATCCTGTTAATGCAAGGAAGTAACCAAGTTTTCCTTGAAGTCTTGGCAAGAAATAACCTCCACCCACATCAGGGAATAATCCTGTAATTAAATAATAAAAAGAGACAGCAATGATTCAAATGAGAGAGATAAATATAACTTTCTTTACTTTAGATCAGGTTGGTATTGAGCAATACATGTGTATGAGGAAACTACCTGAGGATAAGGCAAGAACCATAAGAAAGGATTACACAGAACAGTACTAGGAACCCACACAAAGCTGGAAATAATGCATGTTCCCACCAAGCAAACTAGAAATATTAATGATTCATGGAGAACTGAGCAGAATACAAGAGGAAAATAATTAGCACTAGCCTGAGCAACTGCTCCAATCCTGCATTAAAAAACCCCAAATCGTACAAGATTTAAAAGGATCCAACTGTTTCCAAGTGCCTTAACTTTATCCCACAAGCTTGCTCAAAAATATTTATAAGAATATAAGCCTGGACCGGTTTGGCTCAGCGGTTAGAGCGTTGGCCTGCGGTCTGGAGAGACCCGGGTTCGGTTCCCGCTAAGGGCACGTACCTCGGTTGCAGTTTGTCCCCGGCCCTGGTTGGGTCGTGTGGGTGGCGACCACTCGATGTGTCCCTTTCACATTGATGTTTCTCTCTCTCTCTCTCTCTCTCCCTCCCACTCTATCTGAACAAAATATCAAAAAATGTCCTCGGGTGAGTATAAAAAAAAAAAAGAATATAAAATATCCAGCACCCAACAAGGTCAAGTTTACAATATCTAGAATCCAATAAGAAATTGACAGGCACCTAAAAAAGTTGGAAAACACTTCCCAAAGTGAGCTGATAAAACAATCAATCAAAATTGACCCAGAACTGCCCTGGTTGGGTAGCTCAGGGGGTTGGAGTGTTGTCCTGTGCACCAAAAGGTTGTGGGTTCACTTCCTGGTCAGGGCACATACTTAGGTTGCAGGTTTGTTCTCTGGTCAGGGCACATATGAGGCAACCAATTTATGTTTTTCTCTCACATAGATCTCCCCCCCCCCCTCTCCTTTCCTCTCTCTGAAATCAATAAGCATGTCCTTGGATGAGGATTTAAAAAAAAAAGGAATGAGAGGGCCAGATACCACTACAGATTCTACAGATGCTTAAAAGATGATAAGGATTATGCTAAGTGAAATTAGCCAGTCAGAGAAAGACAAATATCACATGATCTCACTTATATGTGGAATCAAAGGAACAAAATAAATAAAATAGAACCAGAGTCATGGAAACATGGAAGAGACTGATGACTCTCATAGGGAAAGGGGGAGGGGAGAAGAGATTAACCAAAGAACTTAAATGCATATATGTATTGCCCATGGATACAGACAATAGGGTGGTGAAGGCCTAGGGTAGGGTGGGAACTGGGTGGTGGGTGGGAAGGGGGAAGAAGGGGGGGGGATCTGTAATACTCTCAACAATAAAAATTTTTTTTAAAAAGATAATAAGGGAATATTATAAACAACTTTATGCTAATAAATTGGGCAAGTTCCTCAAAAGACTTAACTACCAAAGCTGATGCAAAAAGAAACAGATAACTTGACTAGCCCTATACATATTAAAGATTTTAAATTTGCAGTTAAAAATCTTCAAACAAAGTCCTGGCCAGTTTGGCTCAGCAGTTAGAGCATCGGCCCATGGACCAATGAGTCTTGGGTTCGAGTCTGATCAAGGGCATGTACCTCAGTTGCATTTCGTCCCAGGCCCTGGCAGGGTTGTGCGGAGACTACCAGTCAATGTGTCTCTATCACATCAATGTCTCTCTCTCTCCCCCCTCCCTGCCTCTATCAAATGATAAATAGAAAAATATCCTTGGGTGAGGAATAAAAAAAAAAACTTCAAACAAATAAACAAAAAAGCACTCCAGGCCTAGATGGTTTCATGAGTGAATTCCACCAAACATAGAAAGAAAAAACTGGTAACAATTCTATACAAACTCTTCCAGAAAATGAAGCCAGCGTTACCTTGATACTAAAATGAAGCAAGAACATTATAAGAAAACTAAAGATTATCTCTCATAAAACAGATACAAAAATTCCAAATAAAATTTTAGTATATCAAACCCAACAACATACAAAAAGTGTAACACCATATACCAGAATGAGATTTATACTAGCAACTGAGGGTTAATTTAATGTTGGAAAACCAATCAAAGTAATTCACCATTAACAAGCTAAAAAAGGAAAACCAATGGTCATCTCATTAGATGCAGAAACAATATGACAAAATTCAAATTCCACTCCTAATAAAACCCTTCAGCAATCTAGGAACAGAAGCTAATCTCCTCATCCTGATAAAGGACATCTATGAAAAACTACACTTAACATCATATTTAATTGGTAAAGAACTGAATATTTTCCCTTAAGATCAAGAAAAAGACAAGACTGTCCACTCTCAACAGTTCTATGCAACATTGAATTGGAGATTCTACACAGTGTAATAAGAAAAAGAAAAAGAAAATTCAGATTAGAAAGAAAAAAGTAAAAATGACTTTATAAATGACATAATTATCTACTTAGAAAATCCAATGTAATGTGCAAGACATCTAAAACTAATAAGTGAGTTTAGCACGTTTGCAGGATACAAAGTCAATACAAAAATCACTTGTATTTCTATATGTTGGCAACTAACAATCAGAACTGAATTTTTAAAATATCATTTACGAGAGTGCTCTGATCAGTTTGGTGTTACCTGATTCAAATGGGTTTTTGCTTAAACTCCACATTTTTTATATGCTTCAATGCATCTTTTAACAAAACTTCCCAGAGGTTCTTTCTAGCTTAAAAGAGTTCAACAAAATCTAAGGAAATAGCATGCCCCACAAGTGGCATAAATCTAAAAAGAAAAAAAAAATTGTCATGAGAGTGTGTGAGTGAAAGTGAAGGTGGATGACCAAACCCGAGCAGTGCAGAGACTCGGGGCAGAAGGTTCCTGAGCTATGGACGGGAGCAGCCAGCTACCCTGGTAAGGGGCTCTTAAGGGTACTTCTCCTTGCGACACGGGGAGGTCCCACCATTTTGGAAGATCCCGGCAGGGTCTTCCCTGGGAGGAGGCAGTGGGAGCAGCTAGGGCCCAGCAACCTGAGCCCACCAGCACACCTGGCACCATCGGACTAGTGGACACTCTGTGGCAACACAGACCAGTGCACAGTAGTGGAGCTCCCAAGGTGCCGGTCTCGGAAGCGACCAGCACCATCACCCACAGAAGCACCCTATCAGAGTCGAGATATACGCCCAGCAACAGAGGCTGGGGAGCATCCATCCCCAGGCAACAGAAGCACAGACCAACAGCTGAGACCCATCCCCAAAAACTACAGCAAAAGCTGAGCAGGACTTGATCCCCACGGGGCAGCAGCACCCCCCAGCCACCAGCCGCAGGACCTGGGGCTCCACAGAGGCCTGTGCAGTCCAGCAGGGACTGTGCCATCCAGTTACCCATGAGACCTGCGGGGAGCTAAAGCACCAGAGAGGCCTGTGCGACCCAACAGCCCATAACATAGGCATAGAGCCTGGTCCCCAAAGGGACTGTGCAATCCAGATACCCGCGGGACCTACAGGGTGCGGGGGTACCAGAGAGGCCTGTGCGATACAGCTGTGCACAAGATAGGCATAGAGGATGTGAAAATGGAGGCAGAGTGAATAGAAGCTACACAGACAATCTCCCAGGACCAACCGGGAATTACAACTAAAATAAAGGCAAATCCTCGGGAAGAAGCAACAGAAAAGCATCAGGATAGGACCATATGACCAAGGACACTGGTAGGATGTGCGGAAGCACGAGAGGGTGGCGGGTTGGGAGCCCATGGACAGCAGCATGCTTAGCTGTGAGCAGCGCCCTTGGGGAATAAAGACCAAGCCCGCTCCACAGCGCAGAAAGCCTGGACAGAGCGCTAAAATAGCCACAGCCACTCACCTGGCAGAGGGAGGGTACTGAGATGGAACTCTGTGGAAATAACCGGGATTTGCAGGGCACTCAGAGTTTTTGCTGAGTTGCAGCCACAAAAGACTGTGGCCAGTGTGCTCCTTCCCAGAGCTGTGGGGGAAAGCAGCAGCTCCCCACCCACCCACCCACCCTCAGAGATTCAGTCTTTCCCAGGTGAGGCAAAGAAATGCAAATTGAGGATCATTAACAACCAGCATCTATCCCACCCTATGAAAATCCTCTTATGCAGAACACCAGGGCTACATTCCAAGGCACTGAGTATCTGAGACTACTAGCCTTCAGGAAAAAATTAGAGGATAACTGAACCTTTCCTGGGCTTGCAAATCTACCCAGGAAAGTAAGACTTGACAGTGGTGCTTAACATGGGCACACCCAGGCTCATATAAACCCAGTAGAGGGAACCACAAACAGCAGAACACCAACACCCACAGGGAAAATTTGGGAGGCTACAAAACCCACTGAGATAGCCAAAATGGTGAAACAAAGAAACAAATCCCAAACGAAAGAACAAGAGAACTCTTTCGAAGATGACATAAATGAAATGCAGCTAAGCAAATTATCAGAGGTAGAGTTCAGAGTCATGATCTTGAGGAAGCTCAACAGCATGAGTAAGGACATCAGCACCATGAGTAAAGATATAGAAACATTGAAAACCAACAAAGTGGCCCTGGCCGGTTTGGCTCAGCGGTTAGAGCGTCGGCCTGCGGTCCTGAGAGACCCGGGTTCGGTTCCCGCTAAGGGCACGTACCTCGGTTGCAGTTTGTCCCCGGCCCTGGCCGGTTGTGCGGGTGGCAACCACTCGATGTGTCCCTTCACATCGATGTTTCTCTCTCTCTGTTCCTCTCTCTCTCTCCCACTCTACCTGAACAAAAAATGGAAAAATGTCCTCGGGTGAGGATAAAAAAAAAAAAAAAAAAGAAAACCAACAAAGTGGAAATGAAGAATGAGATAGCAGAAATTAAGAACACATTGGAAGGACTAACCAGCAGAGTAGAGGAAGCTGAGGACTGCATCAGTGAATTAGAAAACAGGGTAGGAAAAAATCAACCCATCAGAAAACCAAAAGGAAACAATTAAAAAACAAGAAGATAGCTTAAGAGAACTGTG